GCGGCTGGGCCTATTAACCGTGGGCTTAATAACCGGCGACTACTGTATAATGTATCGCCCCCTAAATGAGGACCCAACGGCTGTTGACGTCAGCATTCTCGTACGATGTCAGACATGCAGATTTTCAAAATGTGCAGTCAATGTAGAGTGAACTTAAGGAAACGGGGATAAAAGAGGTCACAGCACCTCATAGCGTTCAAGTAAAGCTGTCATCGGATGGTAAGGCGTGGCTTATCAAAAAATGAAATTGGAACGGTGTTGGATTTGTCATCCAGCCAAGCAAAATAAAACAAAAGAAATGGGTTAAATATGGGAATAAGTACCGCCGATATTGTGGTTGACGGAAGACCGTTTACTAGTCCAATTTACTGATACGTCACAGCGACAAAGAAACCGAACAGTAGGTAAAGTGAAACAGCAGTCAATTTTCGAGGCAGCGGCATTACCAAACCTGATTGGTTGAAACAACGGTGTCTATGGGTTCGTGTCAGAGCCGTTGCAGGCGGTCACACGGCTACAAGCTATCAACGGTCAGATAGGCATAACCAACAAGGAATATAGACGACCGCAGTGACCATTTTGGCTGCTTTATCACTGTCGGTCGGTCATGCTTTAAGCACAGGTTTGGCTCATGATTCAAACTTGGGTTATTGAGTCGGAAGCTGTAAAAGTTTGACCTCGTGCTTGCATCCTGTTGGCGACGGTGGTGATGTGGAATATTCAAAATGGGAATGCAGATGACATAACTGGGCTGCTTTGCCCGGTTTGGTAACAAGTACGTCAGAGATGACCCCTCCACGCTGTCTCCTATGTGTCAATAACGCCGCTTAATTACTACTAAAACTTAAATAGGCTATAGATTCGGAGATAGTGCGTTTAACTGCCGGAAATTCAGAAACACAGCAATGGTAATGACGCGCCCAGAAACACTGAGCAATTAGGAGGACTTTGAGCTACATACAGTCCTGCAACTCCTGCAAACAACTTTCATGACGAAATTCAACTTTG